ACTAGGGTCTAAAGTATTGTTCCTGGTGACCTGTGCAATCTTTAATATACAGGAGCTCTGAGGAATCCATTTTAGACCTTCAGCTGCTGTCCACCAATATCTGAGAACTGGATCAGTATGGAGGACATTCATGGGCATTCACCTGATGATTTACCGAAGGGGTCTGAAGAGTTTTGATTCCTTGTGAGTTTTGACATAGCATCCTGGTGGGCGGTTTGATTCCTTGCGCGTGTGTTTTAAGATAGCACATCATTGTCATGCTTCTCCATTGGTCGATTGTCGAACCAAAATGGCCAAAGCATTTGAAGGTGACAAGTCTGAAAAGTTGAAAAGGTCTAAAATGCTCAACGAGTTAGGGTCTACTATGCACACAATCAGTATCCTAGACCCTATGCCTGGCGGGACCTAGAGCCCCTCCCGTCCTAGACCTTTAGTATATAGTTGGGGGTATACCTTTCGATCATCCGACATTCCTCACTTGCAATGTAACTCTCCAAGCGCTTCGGCCTGCGATGACCTTGTCACCGAATTGATTGATCCACTTCCCCACCTTCCAGGAATTGTGAAGATGGCGAATAGAAAGGAGGCCAGGCTCGGGTACTGCAACGCCAAAAGCCGTTCAATGTGGAATGCAAATTCGCCGCCGCCACCACCACGACAACAACATGATACAAGATTGGAGTTGTGAACGGCTCACCAGAAAGAAACCTGGCCCTGCTTCTCCCAGTAACTTGACATGGTGCAATATGCACAGTTCCCAGAAGCGCCTGCATCAAAGCTGGTTTGATCTTGATGAGTAACCTTGGCGGAAGAGATATGGAGACACCCAAGCCATGGGATGTGTCCCCTGCTGGGAGACAGGCGTGTAGCAGGACATTGGCATTCTCAGGAAACCCGTCTCAAGAACATGTACAATATCTTCATGTGCCATTGCATCACCAGATTAAGCCATGCAGGCCCCCTGGATCCTCCAACGTGATCGCACACATCCACACACACACACCTTCAGATCTATGTCACATGCTTAAACGCAAAACATCTGAGCAATCTGTCTGAACTAGTCTCAACTAGGATCCTTCGCAGGCTGAGTGGATCAAAACCAGGATGGCAGAATTAATTACTGGACCCACCATGTGTGTGCATGTGTGGCCACAGGCAGGATCCACTTCTCCCTGAGATCCTGGACGTGGTCAGCCCTTCCTCTACCTTTTGCATCACCACCTGAAGCACCTCGCGAGCAAAAGCAAGAGCGGAGCCAACGACGGATCGAGACTTTCGGAGACTTTCGGAGCGAAACGGGAGACCTGGCCGTACTACTAGAAGCAAGGACGCTACTAGTGTTGAGCTGCACTCAGCTCAGAGCTCGAGCTCGTTTGCAGCCACAAAGTTGTGGCTTCGACATTGATTTGAAAATGGCAGGAAATGGGGAATGTTAGATAGACACAAATCGTGGTAGCATCAAACAGTGATTTGTGTTTTTTCTACCTACAAGTAGCATACGCTTCCTGGTAGGTGTCTTTTTCGACCTGAATCAGTTTCCCAATGCAGAAATCCAACGACAAAGAAAGGAATGTCAGTTTCTGATTCTGCGGCATGGTTTATCATGACGGGTAGCATGTCCATGTCTGATGCTTCCACACCCTCCCACGCAGTCCTCATGTATGGAGGCAAGCACCACAGGCACCAGGGCCTCTACGTGAGACCTGGCTCCAACCGAGGACATCCAAAGACTGTTCCAGTTTGAGTTGGGGAATTGGCCATACAGGCGTCTCAAGCCAATGTATTGTGGTAACAACGCATGTTGTGTCATGTTGCTTTGTGGCAGATATCGGCCAAGTGCAAGCCAAGCCGCTTGTTCTTTCCATGGATCTCTTGCAAAAGAACTAATCCTCTTTCTGGACCGTGCTCTTGCAAGAGAAGCAGCTCTGGCTGCTGCGCTATCGCCTGGTCGACTCTAGACTCGCCGTCGCCCCAGGTCGCTTGGGTGGCCCCACCGAAACCCAGTTTGGTTTGAAGGAACCGCGATGGCTCTGAGAGACTTGGGTTCCTGGTAGTAATGCCAGGAGCTACGTTCGTAGCTTCTGGCTACTAGTAGTAATGGCCTCAAACCTACTAGAGATGGCCTCCACCATGGCCTCCAACCTAATGAATAAAGCAAATCCATGTTTCGACATGTCAACATAACCTTGTCGAGCCAACGGGCGAACCACTTTGTCGAGTGTTTTTCCTCCAGCTTCAAACGGGTCGTTTCCGGTCCATGCTTATTGACGCTTTGCACTTTGGTCTGAGCTCAGCGAAAAAGCCAGCAGTGTGGCTCTACAGCGTTTGTCGGGTTTCAACTCTCGAGGAGCTGATCAATCTCGGATTTGACTGGAATTGGTGTCATGTACACCCCAACTAAACCTCCCATGAAAAGTCCTCGAAGACTATCCAAAATGATATCCGATGTCTTCAGATCTGGTGACGACATTCACACCCTCCAGGGCGCCTTGTCAGTTTCGTTGCCCACCTCAGCGGTCGATTGTGGGTCCCGGCGAGTCAGCAGTCGCAGTGAGATCAAGTGTGTCGACTTCACGTCGCTACGCTTCGATATCATCCTTACAAATGCGTGTTTTTATATGTAGAATACATAGTATTAAGTCAAAGTCTGCAATGATGGCTCTATATACCCTACTTAAAGAAATTGTCCATACATATAAGTATAGCTGCACATATAGGTTTTAAACAGTCTAAGTCAAAAGGCCGTATGTCAAAATTGCGGTAGGCTGATTGACTCCCAAGAATCAAGCATATCGTTCGGGGGCTCTAGGTTAGAGCACGAATTCAGATACTAGTAACAAGAACGCTACTAGTAGCAAAAGGCAAATCCCGTCCGCGCCGATCTGGCAAGTCCTGATTGCTCCATCAGAAACCTTTCAATGACTGCTCAGGCCCTTCAGATATGCACTGGGGCCTTCAAAAAATCGTTTCAGAAGACTGCTTAGCCAGAAGCCCTTCAGAAGCTCTTTTTCACCACTCTGCAGCAAGATTCCAGGCCAGTGGCCCTTTCACAGAGCCTAGTGAGTCCCTGCAGAAAGTCCTCAGGCGCTACCAAGAACAGAGATTGCCTCCTCAGCTGCTGAAGGGTAGTCAGAAGGACCAGCAGCATCCAGAGGCACAGCAGGTGCAGAGCAGCCACATAGAGGCTCAGACATGCCACCAGCAGCAACACCCATCCCCTCCACACACCATCTGTCAGAAGCAGTCTACAGACCAAAGAACTCCATAGCAAGCCAGCAGGCACAGAGGGGCATAGATTTCAGCCCACAAGCTGCTGCAGATCACTCAGAAAGCTCCAGAAACTAACTAATTAATTCATTAGAATGAAAGCAGAATGAAGGCAAATGCAAGCAGAATGAAAGCAAATGTAAGCAGAATGAAAAGAACATGAAAGCAAATGCAAGCAGAATGAAAGCAGAATGCAAGCAACATGAAAGCAGAATGAAAGCAGAATGAAAGCAAGTTCAAGCAGAATGAAAGCAAATGCAAGCAGAATGAAAGCAAATGCAAGCAGAATGAAAGCAAATGCAAGCAGAATGAAAGCAAATGCAAGCAGAGTGCAAGCAGAATGCAAGCAGAATGCAAGCAGAATGCAAGCAAATGCAAGCAGAATGCAAGCAGAATGAAAGCAAATGCAAGCAGAATGAAAGCAAATGCAAGCAGAATGAAAGCAAATGCAAGCAGAATGAAAGACCCTCTGCCAGATCAACACTGCCAGATGGCCTGGATTGTTTTCAGCGGTTCAGAATTTGGCTACCCCCTTAAAAAAAGATAGAAATGCGTTTTTGTTTATAGGAGGGGTCACTAATGAGATGTTAACATTAGGTCATATAGTCATATAGGGGTTCCCCGAACAGCCACCAAACATACAAAGGCGTCCGTTAAAGGGAGGTAGAGAGCGTCCTTCTCTCCCCGAGCGTCTCCTGAGCCTTCCTGCCATGGCCAGCACCATCTCCAAACTCCCTTGCGCTGTTGTGACATGCTCCAAGCTGCCCAAAAGCGTGGACGACACCTCAAAAACCAGAGAAGACGAAAGGAAGGCGAACCGGCGTACCGCTAAACCGGCGCGCCATATCATCCAAGTCGACCGCAAGCAACAGCAAGAGATGCACCAGTTTTTGGGCAAGTCAGGGATACCTACTCTGCTGCAAATACCAGGTGTTCGGGGCTCCTGGCCATACTAGGAACAAGAAGCTACTAGGGGCTCCTGGCATCACTGGGAGCAAGGACGCTACTAGGGGTACTACTAGGAACAAGAAGCTACTTAGGAAGGGAAGTTCACCCGCCGTTTGTTCACCTTCGTCTAAGTGCAAGTGGTACAAATGTCCATTGTCTATCTCCAGCAGCCTCCAGTGGTACAGATCCACACTCTTAAACACCCCTCAAAAAAAGAAGACATGTGATTCACTCTTGGCACTCACGAGCGACGACTACTAGACCTGACTGAAATCTACTGGTGTTTGCTCGCTCATCATGGTGTGGCTTTTACTTCAACCTTTGCTGGCTCTTCCAAGCTCGACATGGCAAGTTGTCTCATCCGAGGGGCATTGCTCATGACCTCGTCAATCTCCTTGGACGCTAACACTCAGAGTCGGGCTGAAAACCGGGGTCGTTGAAAGGTTTCTGTAGTAACAAGTGCATCGCTACTAGTAACAAGAGCATTACTACTAGTAACAAGAAGCTAATTAGTAGCTTCTTGTTGCTAGTAGTAATGCCCTTGCTACTAGCAGTTTCACCCCTCAGCCGACCACACTCGCTTCTGTTCTGAAATGTGGTTCGGGGTTTTTCCACCTTGGCAGCCCAAACACGGTGGGCATGGCCCATCCAAACGGATTCAAAGGAGAAGTCCTGCTCAGGTCGCCCACCGGCAGGTCCCACGGCCCCAAACCACCCAGGTTGGACACTCCGAGGAGCACTGCGGAGTGCCCCGGCAATGCCAGTGCCCACATGTGACCAACCTGGCGAGGCCCTGGATCTGAAGGGTCCAGAAGTCGTGCAGAATCTTTAGGGATTGGTATGGTCAACTCCCTTTCAACTGAACTGGTGAGCCACAGAGCTTTGGGATTTGACGAGCCCAAAACTCTCCATCCATTCACAGATGAATATCCCATCAGCGTGGTTCTCTTAAAGCCGCAAATGTCTTCCACAATCCAGGCATTGCTTGCTTGTCACGTTCACAAACAATCTGTCCGTGTGGCGAGTCATGAACCTGTCATGTGTTAAATCAGGCAAAAGGATTGTGCATCAATCTCACCCAAGACCTCCTGTCTAGAACATGGTGAAATAATCATCGGCTCATCAGACATGATGCAAGCCTTTGAGCTTTGAGTCCCCAATTCTCTGCGAGAACCAACGAGCGAGCCCAGCCGGGTTTGTTCATGCAGCATGGTTCGTGCGGCCGCACCTGTGGTTGAAACTCCAATCTCTGATAAGGCATCTGCCGTCCACTTGTTGCCCACCAACACAATGACCTTGGCACGACATGCAAGAGACACAAATGAAAAGGACATGCCTCCGTGTGGGTGTGTACCCCAACCAACAGGTGGACTGATCTATTTCCCAGGGTCGAATTAGGAGGTCTCCCTATTTTAATACACACCCATATGTCTCCAGCCTGTTTCAGAGGTGAATTGGCCAGCTGTGAACTCGACTCTGTTGTTACTCGGAGACTTGTGTCTGCTTCTGACATAGCTTCCTTCAGCTTTCAAGGTGCAAAGCCCGCACCAGCCAAAATGGATACGAGATAACCAAAGGACATACTCAATCCATCTACCTGTTGAACTAGTCTCGATTTCCGGAGACCAGACAACCTCTGCTGAAAAAACAATCAATCTTCCCTGGACCCAGCTTGTTGGCCCATCCTTTCCCTGTCAACAACTTGAGCCCCAGGCATTGAAAACGATCGTGGACACCTCAGGGGCAGTGCGCCGCACAGATCCGGTAGCCAAGGCGACCAAGGCGACGAGCCGAAACGCCGAGCCCAACTGGTTGGTTTGTGCCCCCTGCTCAGCAACTGGGAATCCATGTGTAGAAAAAGTGTTCGGAACTGAGGGATGTCGACGATGTCCCTGTTCTTCTCGCTCGACCACCTAGTCTCACACAGCAGCACTCGTCTCACAGCCTGAGATTGGATTCATTTAAGCTATCCTAAGTTTTGATCATGAAGAGATTGAACATATCAAATTCAGCCATCAAAGTGTCAAAAACATTCGATGACGTTGCCGTTTTACTTAAAGAGCTATGTTTGACATGCTTTTGATGCATCCAGCTGTGTGGTTGCTTGGATAAAACAATATGCCGCAGTTGTTGTCCTGGAAATGATTGAATCGGCTGTGGGTCATACCTTGGTTGACCTACCGGCGATACTTAGACTGCCTGAGCGCATCCCAAAGCCCTTCAGCTTAGCTGAATCCTTGGTGGACCTGGAAGGTCAAACTACAGCTACATGCTGGGCCATGTCCAGGTTTTGACCCATCCCCAATTGTGCAAGAACGTCCGCATAACATGTTGCACCATTTCTGCATCAACGGGCCCATTCCGCCTAATTTCTGACACGTTAGATGATCCGTCTCCAGTCTCACATGATGCAAACCCCTCCGCCAGCCTCAAAGCTTTGAGGCCAACCCACCTGGCGAACTCCACCTCTGGGCCCCCCGGACCACTAAGAAGATCGTGCACCATGGAGTGTGCGGCTGCAAAAGAGAGGCAGCCATGACCTGTCACCAGATGTGGTTGGTGCTGAAATTCCTAGTTTTCAGGTGGTTTCATCTGTGAGTAGCGGCGATCAGGGTGCTGACCGGGGCGTTTCCTTGGCGGGGTCAGTACAGTCTTCAACTCCATTGAGTGGTAAAAGGGTTGCAGTTGGCTCAATTTTGCCTCAGAGGTCTGTTCCTCAAGAAGGGATTTCTGTGGGTCAGAATGACACCACTCACACACTAGGTTACACTCACTTGAAGTTGAAAGGGCCAGCTCCAATGGCCTTCTGAATGTCCTGACTTGGCATAGGGGCATATAGCAGGTCGCCGAACTTGGCGCACCAAAATCTCAGACAACCCAGGTCGCCCATCCACCTCCACTTCGATGAGCCGAGCAGCGAGAAAGGCACAGTATCGAAAAACCGATGAAGACAGGAAAGTCCTGCCGCCCCAGAGCTTGTTGAGGCTGCGGAAGGTTTCAAGCCATCCTGTGGGCATTCGAGCATTCATCTCTGACAAAACCAGATCTTTCCAGCTTAATTGGGGAAAAAAAGCCACGACCCGAATGATCTCAACACATGTTGTAACTGTTCCGTGGAGTTTTCACCGGGAAACTCATGAACTCCCGTGCTACCGACCCAATCGGATTCTGCGGGGAACCGCAGATGGTGTCGGAGTGTTGACCAGGGGCGAGCCCGCATGGCGGGACATGGCGTGGCCAGGATGTGCAAATGACCAAGCTTTGGCGAGGCGACCAGTCTCAAAACGCACCTTGTGAGATGGTCTCAAGGCGAGATGACATCGCCAACCAGTTGGCTTTAGTCTATTTTCATTGATAGTCAAGGAGAATTATCCTTGGCACCCGGGTGGGTATTGGCATCCTCTTGCAAGTGATACCCCAATGTCGGAGATACCACCATATAATATGACCACCATCACGTCGACGGCTCCAATCTCCAAGCTCTCCGTTTTGCTACACCGCCACCAATCTGCCCTTTGGCACAACCATCATTGGCTCCTCAGCCAGCTCCTCGGAGTGCGGAGTTGAAGGGATTTGAATGTGGAGTCTGAAAAACTGAGGGTGCTAGAGTCTGTTAGAGTGGGCAATCGCAAAACTCAAGCAACAACCTTGAACGAGTTTTTGACGAGTGTGGATCTAAAAACTTCGAACTCACTCTCTGCCTCGGGCCGATCGCAGCGCGTGCGCCGCCGCAGAAGCTCCTGGCGAGTGGGGCCCGTTGACCCCACGCTGAGGGTCAAAACCCAGAGCTCCAAACCAGGGTAGGTTGACCTCTTAGGTATTCCATTCTGTTCATTTTCTCTGGTCAACCCAGGTATAGCCTGCTTTTGACCCACAGCCAATATGACAAGGTCGGCTACACCCAGTGTTTAATAATCTGTCAGGTGGGAGTCAACGGCCTAGCTGCCCAGGATCGGAGCAAAACCGCACGCATGGCACCTGATGGAATCATCCAACCAAAAGGAAAACTGCCACCACAAGAACACTCGACAAGTTGATTGATCTGCGACTGCAATAGAATGATTGAAAGGAAGGCAACATTGGTTCATGACAACATTACCAAATATGAGTCGCAAGCAACGTTCAAACTTGAAGCTTTTCCCTGGAGCTGTCAAGGCTCACAAAGCCTTATGCAGCTGCAGGAAACTACTGTAACTCCTATACATGCAGACACCGAACCTGTTTGGACTGGAAGTCCTCAGGTCCTCTGCTGCTTCGAAGCATGTTTGGAATGCCTCACTGGAACAGCCTAGCCCGTGGTTGTCCTTCTCCTCCCAAACTACGCTCCTGGGGCGCAGTGAAACCGCCCCCGTGGCTCTGCAGCAGATCCTCACAATCAGACGATCAGTGCTGCGAAAATTGAAATGGCTGCACAAAGCCTCGATGGAAACACTCCCACTACCCAAAGCAAATTGCCAAAGCTGGTAGAATGTTTGGGGGGCAACGAGCTAGACTCATGTTGATCATGATGTCCGCCACATCAAGGGAGATACAGACCTACGAGAATCGGGCACCTATCAAGTGCTGGCATCATTTCCAAACGTTGCCCCCACTTTCGCCTTCACCTGGCTCCCTTGCCCGGTCGCTGGGCACCTCCACCGTTTGGTACTCGGCGCTCATCATGCGTTGAAGGTCCACCACCTACCAACGCCCAAAAGCGACGCCCAGACGTGGCTGCTGGAGGGTGGAGGCGGTGGAGGGTAAACAAATCATCCTGCAGCACAAGCGAGGACTCGGCACCAAGAGAATTATCTGTCGTCATTGTCAGAGTGGGACATCCTGGAAGATCCTCGGCAGTCTCCTTGATGATTTGGTTTTACGCCCACATGCCAGGCGTATCACCAGGTCCCTTGTCCAACATGAAGTGATATATCCATCTCTCTCCACCCCACCAGCCCCTCCCCACCAGCGAGGCGTTCCGGCACAGGTCGGTGCGATGCCCCCTGGGCACGGGAGTGAGCTGAGTGGGAGAGGAGCTTGGGCGAGACCTGGCAGTGTTCCTTGGACGTTCCTGAAAACCATAGGGACCCCATGGGGACCCATGGCCAAGCAGAAAAAAAAAGAGAAACAGAAGTTCCCGGACACACTACGGGTCTGGGAACTCGGCACTGGATTTGATTCCTCACATTTTTCAGACAAGAGGCCCATGATGATTTAAGCGATGTGCTTGAAAGTCCGTAGGCCTGAACTTTCCAAATTGGGAGGAGAAGGCGAAAAGACATCTCAGCAAATCGCTTTAAGGCTTAAGGAACCACTTTAGTGCATCAATGCACCAACGAACTGAAGGTCCACAACATCGCCTTATTGGGACATGGTATGGCAACTGCGTTGGAACACAGTGGTGGAACACCAACTACACAAATATGTGCAAAACAAATCCTGCTAGTGGCTGTAGGTGCTTTTGCTAACCCGCGTACGCGAGCTACATATGGCAGGTGCATCCTACTAGGTGCAACTAAATGTGTTCACGGTCAATCACAGCACTTGGGTCTCCACTGCCGTTTTCTGACATCCTTTTTGATACGTGTTCCCTCCCTGCCTCACACCCAGAAAGTGGGCCAAGTGCTCAAAGACCTCTTTGAACCTCTCCCGAAAATGAGCCTTCGCAGAAAAGGTTTTCGTGCACCCAGAGCTCAAGAGCTTGGTCTGATGCAGGGATGGATGAAATTCAGTTTTAAGTTTTAACATGTTTTAACTCCCTAAAGGCCCTAGAGCCCAGCCTCTTTGTCTTGGACCAAAGGATGCTTCTAGGGACGGCCAACCTACTAGCGATGGCCTCCACCCTACTAGCAATGGCCTCCAACCCAGGTGTTCATTTTGAAGGTGCCAAGCAGGTCTGAAAGCGCCAAGGTACTTTCTCTCGGGTGATGAGGGTGAACCCTTCAGGTCCTCATCTACATTGGGTCGCTTCAAGCTAACCAATAACTCCACGCGGTCCAAAATGTGCATAAAAACGTTCATTCAACATCACCAATTTCTGAAAACAACCGGTTGAAAGCCAACCTTCAGGGACTCAAAACTGGCACCCCACCGCTTGCTTCACCTGACGTCGCCTGATGCACGGCGCGCATCTCCTCCGGCCCAAAGAGCCGCTCGAGCTGAGCCAGGTGAGCGGCAAAGGCAATCGGACGCAAGAGCCACGGCTCCTCGCCGTCGCACGGACTCGGTATGGCCGGAGGAGCCATCTTGAGAGTTCCTTCACCGGTTCAAAAACAAGGCGAAAGGGTGTGACTGACCCGCACATTTGGTTACAAGGGCCAAGTGCTAGCCCAAACATGTTGGGGGAGGACCCCAAGCTAGGTCGCCCAAAACACGCCGTGCTGTGCCTGCCTTGCTCCTCGCTTGTGACTTCGGGCGTTCGCGCCCTCTCCTCCAGCGCAGCTTTGGTGCTGGTGAAGCAGCGACCCCCAAAGCCGGAGATGCGGATCACCGGGTCCGGGTGGTGGGCATTCACCTCTACCGGTTGACACCGGGCGGATGGGGTTGAGGGTTTGGAGGTCGGTGGCGAGGGGACCAGAAGCTTAAATGAAAAAAGGACAAGGAATTCTGAGAAAGCACAAGGAGAATCTCCTACTCTGGGGGTCCTTCAGGCATATATACATGTTGGCTCTTGGAAGGGTTGTCCATTTTTTCCTCGATCGTCTTCAAGCGGTCATGGATGGACGGTACTTCTTATTGCTCATGTTGAGACCAACCCTGTTCAAAATTCTCAAAGCCTCACCAAAATCACTGCTGAATGCCAAGTAATCGCAAACGTTGAACAACTCATTCATGTGATGGTTTTGTCTATGCATGAAAGACTACTTCATTCAGACTGCAGGCCTCACAAAGGTGGTAGAGCCAGAACCTCAAGGTCAGCGTCACGGTCAGCGTGAACCACACCTCGAGTGTTCACCTCAAAGCCTCGCTTGCACTACCAAAATGGAGGAAATGGCTAGAAGCCTCATGCAGTCAGAGACGGTCAGTGGCATCATGGGCAACGAATCAAAAGATCCCATCGGTGAAATGATTCCATTCTTCAGTCCCAACTGAAATCGTTCCCAACTGAAACAGATTCCCACTCTGTCCGATCTTGTGAAACAGATTCGTCCGGATCTGCTTCGGCACTGGGTGCCGGGCCGCTTCTCGAACCTGGGCCGCACCGGGTGCGGCCGCTTCTCGGAAGCAGAGTCAAGGTCCAAAACCGTTTGATGTGGGCACGCTTGATCTGACAAAGCTTCTAATGATTAATGGTGGCCTTTTTGCACATATTTGCACATATAGACTCATATCGATTCAACATGATTCAACTAGTCACTAGTCCTTTCACAGGCAACATTGTCAAACCTTCACCGATGATAGAGTACCCTATGCATCCTCTACGCTATTCTGACAATCATCCACACTGCTACGCCTGCCCAGTGGATCGCACAGGGCCAGGACAAGCTTAAGCCTCAGGACGGCATTGGATGAACCCACATTGGGCAATATTGATATTGGCCAAGCACTTCCAACAATGTGGTTGTGTACTCAAAGAGGGAAATCTGGTCTATGTCCTTCTTTTTTCAGCAATTAGTCTATATTAAAAAAATATATCATCTATCAGAATCTATCATCGAAAATCGTTCAAGACTTGGCGGACCTGAATCGAGTTCTGCCAGGCAGCCCAGGGATTTGTCTCATCGCCAGGCGCACCCGATGGCTGTAGTAGAGCCCCGGATGCCGTAAGCCCCGAAGCCGAGCTTTGCCACCCCGCAACCAACGGAAGTTGAAGTCCTCAACCTGTTCACACGAGCCAAAAGGCTGGGTTTCGGGGCTCTGCGTTGGGCGAGATCGATCCACTCACCGCGTCTACCTGCCTCCGCCTTGTAGGGCAAAAGAGAGTCATGTTTGTAGAAGAAATCGTCCTCGTCGTCCATGGTGAACTGGACCTCTTCCACCTAGGCAAGTCTACTCAGGTGCCGGGAGCCATACAGGCCATTCAGAATCACCTATAGAATATAGAAGGATGTGAAGAGCAATCAAGTTTTTGTGAAGTTGCAGCGAATGCCTTCGCAAGACTTTTAGGTGGGTATCCCTCAACACGATCTTCTTTTGTCTCAATCCTCAAGAGCCCTTCAAAATGTGGCCTTAAGGGCCGTGAGGCTCTTGCTCTGAATCAAATGACCAAAACATTTGGCTTGGTTGAAACAAGAACCCCACGTGGTAGCACGGTTGTCACCTGCTTCAATCCTCTGAACAGGGTATTGGTGCCACAACTGTCCTGCAGGAGACTCTGCGCAACAACTTCACTTCCGACCAAGCCCTCAAGAGTTCTCAGCTACAATCTTGCCCGGCATATCTTTAACAGCCCCGAAAGGGCCAATATAAGGCTGATCTTTCCTAGTTGAGTTACAGATCGGCCAGGATGTCCATGTCATCAAGACCTTTCATCAGCAAATGGCAGTCCAAGCCAGCGATGACGAAGTCCAACTTCAGCTGCGACCAATGCGAGAGCTCGTTGATCTGCAGGGTGTGACAAATGTCCGGCAAGCCTCCCTACAGCCTGCGTGCCATTGTCACTGGGTTTTGCTGGGAGTCATGCACCACTTGGCTCAACAAAGTATATTAATATGATATGAGAATGTTTGAGGCTATCAGCCCCGGGGAGGAAAGCAAACAGAGCCAGATTCCCTGACACATCTTGGCAAGAACGAAATGACGATCTTCGCCCTCCTTGAGAGACGGAAAACCAGAAAAACTGTGACCTTTTGGTCCAAAACCAGCTCCACCCTGCCCCGGCACGACCCCATCGCCTGCAGCTCCTCCGGCTTCGGCACCGGCACCTGGAAGTCGAAGCGCAGCGCGTGCGCCAGGAAGGCGGGAAAGGCTCGGCGTCGCACCTGGCGGTGGGGGAGGGAAGTAGGGTGCTGATCTGATCTCCTACAGCAGGTGGGAAACGAACGCGCTTCATGACGTTTTCATGAAGTCTCAAGAGAATCGCTGCAAGGCTAGATTGGGATATCCAAGACCCTAATATGCACATGTCAAGCCCCAAAGACTTCCACAGCCTCCTTGGCCACCTCCCAGCCCTCCAACCAACCTCCTTCAGCTCACAGCCAGGAGGTGCACAAAGGCCGCCAACGAGATGCTTCGGCAGCAGCCGCAAGTGACTGCGGATGGCCTCCAGATGCGCCTCCAAGCAACCTTCGCACGTCTCCTCCTGCACATCCAGAAACGAGTCGAACCCAATCCGGAACCGTTTCGGCACCGATCGTCGGGTCGAGTCGCTGTCGCCGCGTCCGACCGCCGACACCGGCGCCGGCCTTGGGGCACGAAGCGTTTCGGGGTCGTTCCTTTGGATCCGAGTCCAAAGAGTCCAACGGGCAAACGAGAACATGAAAAATGCTCCTGCGACTCGGTGCCCATTCTCAAGGACCTGGCATAGGCCTGAAGATGTGATGGAAACAAGATCATCGGTTTTTTTCAGGTCACGCCAAATGTGATGGTCTATTTCAATGAACGGCACAAAGACCACGCGCTAACTCTGCATCCATCCCATGGCCTCGCCCTCCAGCTCCGTCTCCCAATAACGACCACCCAAGCGCCAGCAGCCGAAGGCCTGTTCTTCAACCACCTGGCAGTCCACCCAAACCACCACCCTCCACCACCCCATGGACCCTGAATCGGGGCCGACAGGTGCAAGAACGGTTTGGTTGAATTGGCGCAACTGCAAAATCTGCCAAAAAGAAGCAGTCAACTGGTCATCACTGCGTCATTACTCATTACTAATTACTGCTTACTCTGACTGTTCAAGCACCTCTACGGCACTCTACGGCCCCTTCCTTCAGACATGGGAAGAAGATGGAGCTTCCATCTTGAGCCTCGAAATGACTCTGGATGTAGTCAACCACCGCTGGATCCTCCTCTCCATGGTGCCAGGCTCGGGTCTGAGCACCTGGCGCGAAGCACAAACACAAGCGGTCGAAATCCAAACACCAGGCGTGGCAAGCTGGGGAAGCAAGCTCCCAAGGACATATCATATCTATCTATGACCTATGTGATTTAGACTGTAGCCAGCCAGTTGTGGAGCTCGAAGATTGCTTGATACAACTACTCTTGTGGCAGGTCGCGACACCACCAGCCATGCAGCAAGGCGGCAGCCAGGCGCCTTTTTGTTTCACGGGCTCACCAAGAAGTGAGCAAGTGGTTCACATGTCACGTTCTGGATACACCACACCTCCCAGAAGAAGCAAAGCTGTCATCACTCCAAAGGCCTTGGCACCTGCATTCTTGCCATAGAATTGATGGCCTTTCTCATATCCAAAGACACTCAAGCTGGTGCAAAGGGAGGCGCATGGCACCGCAATCATCTTCGTCCAAAAGACACGTTCCGAAGCCGTGCCGAAGGCGCAGGCACGCGCGCCCAGGGTGGCCAGGCAGAGCGCCGTCATCTCAAAGGCGACCAAAAAGCGCTTGGCGATGGGGTGGAACTTCTCGTTGGGGGCCAGGGCGCCAGTGGTCCTATGTCAGGGCAGTAAAAGAATCGGCCCTTTCAGTGTCTGCGAAAAGATTGAATCAGCCGCCAAAACGCCTGAGATCTCTGAAAAAGATAGAAAACCAGAAACCCCACACACAAACATCCGGGGAACCAGGCAAAAAAGAGGACTGGACTCCCCACTCTCGTCCTCACCACCCACTCCGCCCGGAAGATCATCAAAGGCGACACCAGGAAGGAAACTCCACAGACCAGGCCTAAGGCCACACTCGTGAGGCCACGAGACATGGAGACCAAACCGCTGCGGGAGGATGGTCCTTCACAAACGACGAGCACAGGATGGTCCCCTTGAGCCGCAGAACGACACGCACGAAGGCAGGCGATGTCAAGACGGACGGAGAAGGCTCAAAGGATCGCAAGCAACCAGCTCAAAGGCTCGATCGCCTTTTTTGGCACCAGGAACCTTTCTTTCTGCAAAAGAAGACCAACAGTAACAATTCTACCGCCACTCTCTGAACGCCCAATGATCTCCCAACAATCTTGCGCGTCCCATCGCCTGACCAAGGAAAGTATGGCTCGAAGTTCTCACACAGGGCAGCCGCCGCTGGTAGATAGGAGACGCGCCACATGATGCCATGGCTGGAGCGTCCGCTTTAGAACATCAATCGTATATCAGAGATGCCATCAGATCTGCTACTTTCATCTTAGCTTCAGTGCATTAAGAGGCAGTGAGCCTTCTAAGTAAACTCTTCAGGACTTTCAAGCTGCAGGCTTTCCCCCCTCTATTTACGAGGCAATGCTATGACCTTCAAAGTTGTTCTCAACAAAATGTACAATCTTACTACACTTCACTTCGACCTGGTGTATACAGAATTTGTGTAGAGCTTCAAAAGGTGTTCGAGCTCAAAGCGCTGCCAAGGAAGCTTTGGAATGAAATGGCAATTCCATCATCACTCTCAATTTGATGTGAGTCCTTCAACTCCCTTCCTTTAGCCTTGATCTCTCCAGTTCACTCTCAATCTATGGCATTGTGCCAAAGATTGACGCACACATTCTTGAAGGTAGGACTGAGTCCAGCATTTTTGCGCGGCCACCTCGTCGCAAACCAGGTGCTTTGCTGGCTTGCTTTTCGCTGAAATTTCTCAACGTCGGGAACGCATGGTCGGCACTTGAGGAATCGAGTCGGCGGAACGATGAACCACGATCCATATCAACGGGCATGGAAACACAGAGAGCATATTGGTGGCAGCGCTCCCTCAATCAGGATGGACGCCATCTTGTCACGACACAGGAGAGATGCTCATTTAGTCAAATGTCTCTCCCTTGCAGGCCCTTGCACGCTAAAAACGTAGCAATACAGCAACAAGATCCTTTGTGCGCCAAGACTGGGGAATTACAAGGTAGTCACTTTTCTCATGATACAAGAAAAAGCCTTCTCCAAATCTGAAATCCAAATATCCCTTCCTGGAATGGTGTGTGTGGCCAAGCAAAACCTCATCTTCGATGCCTCAGTGCCTTACCAAGCAGTCACGCTCAACTGGCTTGTGGCACTAATCTTCTCAAAAAGACTGTGCCTCCTGAGCCCAAAAACTCGGACGTTTGCACCTAGACATCCGAGGAATTAGCCAACATCCAAAACAACATACAACCCAAGACTTCCAGATTGTGCTTACAGTACTAGAAGACCCCAATGAAACAACGTGCAGCATCGAGCAATTCAAAGACGGCCCCAACCAGCATTCCTCTTTCGTGCCGCTGTCAAATTGATGCCTTTAAGGTCGGCTTGCCCAACTGGTGTCGCAAGATGTGGCACAACTTAAACGATAATAACCACAAAAAACAAAGAATACTCTCATCTTCGGGAAGCTTCGCAAACCCTTCTCCCAAAACTTATATATGTAGAAGCTCCGGTTGCATGTAACGATAATGATAGGATTTAAGCTTGGTCATCCCAGGCTATTCAGACTGCGACCACGGTAGCTCCACACTGCTGCACTTTGCTGCTCAACTGTTGCCGTAACAAAGCTCTACTGTTGTTACTGTTGCCTGTTTTTGGCTTGCCTGGGCGCCGAATAAAGTTGTCACATAAAGAATCTATGCAAGCTCACCAATCACCTCAGCAATGACAGGTTGTTTGGAGAAACAGCTTTTCCTGCAATGTACAATGTACTGTTTTTGTTGTAAGGGTCACTTATCACTTCTCCTGGCAAGCTCCCTTCAAATCCAGAGACGTGACAG